TCAATAAGATCGACCATGCAAGACCCTGTAATCAAAATTTAAACTGAGGGAGAGAGAGATACAGAGTGAGAGGGAGAGAGAAGGGTTGGGGGAGGGGAGGAAATAAATTTTTTATTTTTTATTTTTAAAAGGGAAGAGAATCGGGCTATGGGCTCTTTTTCAAATTTTTTTTTAATTTTCATATAAAAGTTAACTAAGGTTAACTATAGGACATGTGTCAAGCTTCAATAGTGGTGGTGAGCATACACTCTTAGTTAAAGTGGTGAGCAAAAATGCTCTCTAGATAATATAGGGTTGCGCTTCCCTCATTCGTACGGCCTCAAAAACTTACATCCATAGCGGTCAAAGGATTGCCCAACACTTGCGTCCAAAGCGTCCCTCATTCGTACAAAACTTGCGTCCAAAACGTCCCCCAATCGTACCACCAAAGTGCAGGGATCCATCGACAATATCCAGCTTCTACAATATACCTCCAAAAGCCATGCCACACAGTTGAAGAAATCCGGGGAATAATTTTCTCGGTTTGCCATGCAAAGACCCTTAACCTAACCTAAAGACAATGCAAATCTTCCAAAGAGACACCCAAACCATGCAGAAACTACGAGAAGTTGCCGCACTTATTACAAAAAACACTAATATACACCTAAACAACAAAACACCCTAAAACAAACCCAAAGTTCTCCCAAAGAGAAACTTAAACTAGCGTCGTTGTTGTCGCCGCCGTCCAGACAAAGGCCAACACCAACCAACCTCTACCGAGTAACTGCAGCCGCTACAATCACAACACAACCAACATAAAGAACATGCAAACAAGAACCCAAAAAAAAAACCCCAACAAACCCACGATCCAAACAAATCCAGGATACAAATAGATCTAGGCACACCTACCCCCAATACTCCAACTTAACCACAACCTGGCGAGGTTTTTCCCCGAACAGGAAACACCTAGCGAGAAGATGGAGAAATTGAGGTGTGAATGGGGAAGGAGGAAAGAGAAATGTAGAGGGGGAATATGGAAGGAAGTTACATGAGTAAAGGAGAATACAAGCACTATGCACTTTGTTAACAAAAAATCTAATAAAACAAGCATCGTCAAATTAAAATATTAATGGACTTTCTTCATTAATAACAACTGATTTATGAATTCCCTCATTTCTTATTTCCTTTTCTTTAATCGCAACTACTTAAACTTGCCAACCATCACCACTCCATCCATTATTATTCTTCCTTTTTTCCTGCTAAAAACACACAGAGAGATAAAGAAAGAGAGTAATAAAAAGCAGTGTAGACCAGTAGACTAGGTCATCATGAGAGGAGAGGAAACGAGTTGGTGTAATCTTCAGTGGGCCGATTGTGAGGAAAAAAAAAAGGAAAGAAGAGTCGGAGGTCAGGTGTAGACTGTAGTGATCTTCAGTGGGGTCCACAATTCTCTTTCTCTCTTGCGGGTCCCTGAGATGAGGGCATAAAAGTATTATCTTAGTGTTGGGGTAAAAAACCCAAAAAATTCAAATGGAAGTTCCATACTCCAAATTCATTGCAACCCAATCATATTATTCCCCCAACGGGAAACTCCTTCCACGAGGTCATTAGGTTTTGATCATTTTAATTGATAAAATGGTTGGACGGTAACCAAATGCCAACCTTAGTTTTTGTTTGTTAAATTTGGATCATAGAGTAAAATGGTGGCGTTGTATTTATATAGGCGCAAGTGCAACCCTCAGGTTGGGCCTTTAATTTTGTAGTTCAACTTTCATGTAGTTTTTCGATTCTCTCGCACATGAAAGTGGTAAAATTTTAAAGCAAAATCAGTTAGAAAACATGAATGTGCAATCAAAGTCTCATCTCTAAAATACTCATAAATCCAAAAGCTATAAGTTATGTAGTAAAGTGTGATTACGATTTGTCATATACATATATAATTATTTTGTTGTAAAGGGATTGTGTCGTATTAAAAAAATGCAATACTTGGTCAATTTGGGTAGAGCGGATGTGTTGTACATACAAGTAAGTTCGAATTCAAATCTCTACAATTTAGATTAGATTAAACTAGAATAGTGTTTGTATCAACGATAAAAAATGTTATTGTTTTCTTTTTCTTTTTTCTTGATAATAGAAGAAGCGATAATTAGGCCGTCATCTTATTTTTATTATTTTTATTTTTAATGAAGTATGAGGATAATAGGCCATCATCTTATTGATGATTGGCCCCAAGGGGCTTATTCCGTCAAATTTAATACCAACCTTTATCAATATGGGCCTTTTTATATATTTCATATTCAAAGAAAAAAAAAATCGAATGAAAAAGAAAAAAAGAAAAGAAAATACTTGGGGTTTGACATACTTCCACACCTACGATGCCATTGTTGTTAGATTTATCACGCGTTGCCCATCATTTTCTGAGGTTTTTGGGCCATGAATTCGTCCATCTTTTTTTGAGCTGCGTTTGCTGGATTCACAAACGGGGCTCCTTAGTCCTACGTTTACCACTCTGCGAGAAGGTAAAGGCAAAGCATCCTCTCTCTCTTTCTGCATTTTCTCCTTAATCTTTCTTTCCTGATTTTCTGTAGATTATATGACATGGGTTTTACTTGGGGTTTGATCATTTGATCCGATTCTCTTCCGGGTTAATTTCTTTCACATGAACTGTGTGTAATGCATGTGTTGTTGTTGTTTGCTGAAATGAATGTGCTAAGCTTTACGTGCGTAAAACTCTTATACCTAAGCTCCAAAATAAGGTTTTTCCTCAATAGTGTATGCATGAAGGCTAGCTTTAGAGTTAGTGTTTTATGTTGGTATATGTGTTAAAGTATAAGAATAGCTTGCATTGCTGACCCATTAAGGTGAACATCATAAAATATCCACGAAACTTAGATGTTGACCTCGTGGAAGGTTGGTGGGCGACCTCGGATGCACACTAACTATTTGACGAAATGCCCCAAGGAGCATATGAGCTTCTTTGTATGCAGGACTCCAGTTTTCTTCTTAGATGCGTTTGTGGGTTATGTGTTTCTCTCTGGCCCTCTCAGTTTGCTTGTTAGATGGGTTTGTCTTGGGGGTTGATATATTGATGAAATCGGGAGTAGAAGAACGTACATAGATAGATATATGAGGATTTTTAATTTGGGGTCTGGCTTTATCTTATTTTTTGTTTTTCTAGAGTAGGGCAGTGCATAGAGAGTAGCAGAGCACTATGACATTGCCCAGTACAATCTACAACCATCCAAACCCAATATGGAGATATAAAAAGTTAAGGGTTTATGTTATTGTTATTCTATGCCACTAACTAGGAAAAAAAAAAAAAGTTAATGGCATTGTTATTTTATGTTATGTATTTATGATGATGCTGATATTGGAAACATCCAATTGCATGGTGTATTTTATGCAATCATCGGCATGTGGCAACTCATGCAACCTTTCTATAACACTGCCCATTTATAATTGTACACAACAATAGGGCTAGGCTAGAGTACTATTATATAGCATCTCCCATTTCACAAGTTCTATATATAGGACATTGGAACCTTGTTGCAATCCATTTCTCATAGTTTTGGTGTCAGTTAAATAGCTGAGTTGATTATCATTTAATCTTATCTCAGTAATTATGGTTAGTTCTTTATGAAGTAGGTTACATATGTTTTTTCATGTATTGATAATGAAGTCTCGAGGTAAATTTTTTTTTGGGAAGTTTACACGTTGACTCTCGGAATTAAAATCTTGGATCCGCCACTTGTTCTTCATGAAGTAGGTGAGAGAAGATGTTTTTTCCTGTATTGATAATGAAATCTTGAGGTAAAAATATTTTGGAAGTTTTACACGTTTGCCCCTTGAGATTAAAATCCTGGATCCGCCAAGCTTGCGCATCCCCTTTTTCTGATTTTGAGTATAACTTCTTATATAATGAGTAGGGGTAGATGCGGTTCGAAAACCGCAATTTTTCCGACAAACTGCAAAGCGCTCGAGACAATGCGGTATTGCATAATTTCAAACCGTTGTCGTTCGCAAAGTTGCGGTTAACTGTGATTCGGTAGAACCGCAACTTTGGTTGGAGTCCGCAAAAATGTGGTATCCACGATTGATAGAGAAAGAGGGAGAGAGGGGGAGAAATCGACAGAGAAAAAGAAGAGGGAGAGAGACGAAAGAGAGAGAATGAAGAAAAGAAATCGCAGATTGAAGAGAGAGAAGAATAAAAGTCGAACAGGTAGAGAGAAAGAATTTGAAAATATATCATATATACTAGCCTCTCCGCAAGCGCTTTCGCGCCTGCGAGAGGTTTTTTTTTTAAATTTAATTTATTTTAGAATTAAAAAAGATAATGAGTAGTTGTGTAGGATCCATTATTTGAATTTTATTTTAATTTGAAATTTTTTAATATGAAAAAGTGTGAATTTACCATAATATCTTTATTTAATTAATAATTTTAATTTTTAATATTTGCATTAATTAAGAGCATTTTATGGTATTTTAAATGTTTTATGCCTTTTACTTTTTACATATATATATATATATTGTCTGATATTGTTTTCTTTTCTTTTCATTTACATATTAGATTAATATACAATATTATTTTCCTTAAAGGACCAACACCTATCTTGCCTCTCCTTTTCTTTCACGTGTCCCTGCCTCCCACTTCTCAAGTTTTTTTTGCTTTATTAAACTCATCTTTTTTATCGGTGCAATATTTCTTGAAAATCTGTTTTGAACTTTTGACAATTAGATTAGGGTCTTTCCACTCGAAACACAGAGAAAGTTCAAACAGAGGTGGCGGTGAGAGCAGCAGAGAGGAGCATAGTGAGAGACTGAGACAGAGAGCAGTGAGAGGTCGATGAGATATCAGAGACAAGGAGAGGAGAGATAGCTTCGCGTTGAGAGTTCGAGATTGAAGTGAGAAAGCTCTACGCCGTCTCTGCATCTCTTTCTCGCTCTCCTCTTTGTTTAGGTACCATAAATGTTTATTTAAATAAATATGAAATATATTGCAGTTGGTGAGGTATACCGCAATTTTTGGATTTGTGTAACCGCATCCGCAACCTTAGATTGCGGTCGGTATAAGGAACCGCAGATCTTGGTCTGCTTTCGTAACATGTCGGCTTCTTTGCGGTAACAACTCGGTCGGTTTTGCGATGTTGGGGTACAAAATGCCAGCCCTCGAGCTTGGGCCGCTCCTTTTTCTTTTTCCACCATCTCTCTCTCCCTCCTCACACGCAGTGGCCAGCGTACGTCTTATCTTTTCTTCTTCTTCCTCCTCTCCTCTCATCTCTCTTTCCGAATTTTTCCTTCTCCCTCTCTTTGGCTTCTGGCTTCAAGATTGACCAGAAACGTATCCGAAATGTTTGATACTTGTGTCAAGAACCTAGGAGCATATTCGACTGCGTATCTGATACGGGCCTAAGTCATATTTCATTGTGAACTGATTCTCATACTCATTTGTATTTATATTTTGTTTGGTTGATGAGAAGATAATTGAAACTGCGAAAAGACACGATTCTAGATTTCTTGGTATTTGGTTCAAGCCTTTACTGTTAAGTTTGATCAACGTGCTTATGACAATTGTTTATATAATGATGTTGTATGATTCTCATGTATGAATTTAAAGAAATGTCTCTTTGAATTTGAATAGAGAATTTAAAATGTTGCCAAGATGGAGCAGAGCTGTTACTCAGCTCCCAAGGTTGGGTTCACAGCATAACTTGAATCTCAGAAATGAATTTTATGTTATTTCTCGCCAAAGCTATGGCAGGGCTGCTGCAGCTGTGGCTCCAGATGTGGAAAAACCTCTCCCTAGTGAGCCAGTGGTACGTTTTTTAGCTACCCATCTGCATTTATGTGTGCAAGGTACTCAGTTGTGTCTGTGTTTGGAAATCGAACTTGCTAATTTAGGTAATAGTTGGTTGTAGTTTAAATTAAGTTTGATGATTTACTTGTTAATGGACATAGATTATCTGGAAATTAAATCATTAGCCATGAATCATTCTTGTGATAATGTATTTGTGTGTCTGTGTGTTGTTGGCCTTCGTCAAGCTGAAGCTTCTAGAATTATTTCATTGCTGAGACTTAGTGTACCAATGCTCAACAGGTAAATCTGGACAAACTGTTTTGGTCTAAGCCATGCTCATTGGCTTTGGCCCCAGACTCCCCATTAAGAATTGAAGAGCCACAATATGCGGGATTTAAACATGCAATTCTTAGGCTGATGCTGTTTTATAGCAAACAAAGCACGTCCATTCGAGGAGCAAATGTGGTATATAAGCGAATCATTTCACAAGTTGATAAACCTGCCATTTATGAAGGTCAAATTTTCTCTCTTCTTTCCTCTGTATTTTCTTTAATAATCTTGTAGATATGAGGATAATTGGCAATGTTTTTAAAGCAAACTTAATGGCGAGCTAAACTTTTCTCGCAAAATATGCAGTATTCAACTTGGAGAAAACCTTTAAGACAACATTCTCTCTACTTGTACTTCATATGTGGCTTTGCTTACGCCGGTTGAAAGAAGACGGAAAGGAAGGAGTTGAATTTGGGCAATACATATATGAGACTTACAATCACGATGTGGAACTTAGAGTATCTAAGGCTGGGGTATGTGATCAGTTCTCTTATGTTAAGCTACATAATCCGCTTTGAACTTAATGCTTCCTGACAGTTTAGTTGCTTCTTGTTAATGTTATTTTCAGATAACAAGTATAAATCAAATTGGAGGTCATCAACTGTTTTTAAAAAGAATTTTAAGTTATTTGTTTAGTATGGTTCAACAAACACAGGGAATTTTCCAGAATGAATCTGTTTCTTAGGTTTTAACTGCTGTGCTTTTGGTATAAGAGGTTATGAGAACATGGTTGCTATACTATTTGTAATTTTAGGGGGCTTACGATTAAGCATGAGATTGCTTAGACTTTCCATGATTTATAGGACTGTTTCCGTGTTATGAAGTTGGTCTATCGACATTTTGGTGCACATGATAATGTATTGTTTCTTTCACCTTGTATATGGGTTTTTTTTTTTTTTTTTTTTCATGCACACTAAAACCAAAATAGATGCTTTGCTTAGTCTGTTCAATTCCCAAAAACATTCATGTATAGCTCTGTCCTATTGTCCACTATTTTAGGAGCTGCTATGTCCAATTCCATGTAACATCTTTCACGTTATGCATATTGAAGTTCCCTAATAACTCAGCTCAGACAACATATTAGGTTGTTTTTTATGCAGCATATTATAGCATAGGATTTACAGTTATGCATGCTAATTGATTTACCCTTGAAATCTCAGGTCAACTTATTACTGACTAAATGGATGAAGGATTTGGAGAAGATATTCTATGGGAATATTGTTGCTTATGATGCTGCCGTGCTTCCGGAGGCTAGGCAGGATGAGCTGCAAAATGTGATTTGGAGGTAATCTTTCCCAAGCTTGGTCTATAGTTCCCCCGCCCTTAGTAATATTCTATGTCATTGGATGGTGTTCCCATACTAGCCCCAACATAAATATTCTCAACCATTTGAACATGGAAATATGTATTAACCATCTGTACCTGCTTTGCAGGAATGTCTTTTCTGATGATGGTTCATCACAACCAAATGGTGATGCATCACGAGCAGTCCAGGCATGTTCTCATCCTTGATCTTGTGTTATCTAATTACATTTCACTTTGTGGTTGATACACTGGAGAATGTGTAGTTTTCCAGGTTTGGAATTACTAGAAGTGTTCTTTTCCTCGGGGTTGCTAGAACTGTTGCTTTTGTAGCTAAGCCACAACACCTCCACCCTGACTTTATAAGTACTCTCTGCTACACCGAAGAAAAAGTGAATATATTGGCCGGTGATAAGTGAGCAAAATGTGTAATATTTGAAGTTAGCCCATGGACACAAATGCCATATATGATACCCAGCTTCATGTCTGTAGATTAGTTCTCTCTATAAGATGTTGCCTTATTTACCTGCATTTTTAATCAAAATTCTCTCTGGTTTTTAATTTATGAGGGAGTAGGGGTTGTAGTGGTTAACTTTCTTATGTCTTTTAAGTTTTTAGATCTATATGATGCGAACAATTGCAATTAACGTTTTTGTATATGCAGGCAATGGCAAGATATATTCGCCGGGAAGTTAGTTGCCTGTCCTTGACAGGTATTCATTGCTTGTTCTTTCTGTTTCCTATTGGGAATTTGGTATTTGTGATAATTTAATGAGTTCCTATCAAGTTCAAGATTGCACATAAACTTCCAATCTCTTCACCAGATATATAATGCCTACAAGTTCAGTCTGACAACAGTGTGCAATTTGATTGTGCAGATAAAGAAGCTATGTTCTCTGGTAATTTCATGTTTACTTCATTGAAGGGCGAGAAACCAAAATCCGAGACATCCATATAAGAATCAATGTAGTCATGTGCGAGTTTCCATGAAGAAAATTAGAAAATTTTCATTCTACAACAAATCATAAAGACTTGTAAAACACGACAAATAAAACCTTTGTATAATTATCAAAAGCAGCTCCGTTATTTTTTCAATTATTTATAAAATTAATTTCGCCTTGAGAATTTGCAGACCAATTGGTAGTCTTGATGGTTTTAGCTTATGTAATTATCCGTTGGTTGTGAATTACCAATTATCAAGATATGTGGTCGTTCGTTCCATTTAGATGGGGTATGTCGCTCTTTTTTTCATTATCCTTGAAATGCCTTTGCTTTGTTATGTTAGTTCATGCACTCTGAATTTGTTCAGTATTCTTTCCCATCATATAAATTGCATTCTTTTCCACATAGTACATGCATCAGATCAGATGAAGCAACTAAGCAAATTATCATACGTATATAGACTAAAAGAGAAAGCTGGCTTAGTTTCGGAAGTGATGATTAGTCGAGGTGCGCATAAGCTGGCCCAGATACCTCATGGTACTTACAAAAAAAAAAAAAAAAAGAATATCCAGTGGATGCCTTATATTATATATATATATATATATATATATAATATTATCAAATATATTATTACATCAAAGAGATGGACAATCAAATTGATTTCTCGATTCAATAGAAGCCCAAGGAAGTGAATAGGGTCCCATCCCAAATAACAGGAGATATGTAAAAAGCAGGTCCGATTATGCCTATTACTAATCCTAAATGGAATGTAATGACGTAGGGATCCATATGTAAACATAGTACCTATTTAGATACACTTGAATGACCCTTTCTCATAATTAAAATGCATATAACCCTGTTTCGATATGGTCTAGTATGAAATGAACTTATAATCATGGAATCGACTTGATCATCAAATTATAGATTATGAGTTCATAACCCTAGCCCATTCCCATTTTGGGCGGAACAGATCTACTAATTCTTTGATTCCAATTAGTAAGAGGGAAGCGATTAGATGTCCGACTCAGGCCTATATGACATGACAAATCAATAGAAATACTCTTAACACTCCGCCTTTGTCATATATTCCATACATCGCACTAGATAGGTATCATATTCATGGAATACGATTCACTTTCAAGATGCCTTGGTGGTGAAGTGGTAGACATGCGAGACTTAAAATCTCATGCTAAAGAGCGTGGAGGTTCGAGTCCTCTTCAAGGCATAATATTGAATATTGTGGTGACAAAAAAGAAACATTAGTTATCAGCTTCAAATGGATGCTATAATTCATTATATGAGACATAAGTTTTGGATCAAAGGATTGCAAGCTTTTATTTAAAACAAATAGACCCATCCGATCATTGCAATGAGGAATTATATTGAGGGTCTTTAAATACTCATCCGATCAACTTAATAGTCAATTGTAGAGTTATTATTGAACAACACGATTCCCTCAACACACCTCCCCTCATTAAGAAGCTTCTCATCACAGGACAAGGCGACTCGGTCTTGTTTGTATTGGGTTTGGGCCTAGTTACTTATGTCACAGGCTTGTGGACTTGGATCGTCTTGGGGCTTTATGGCGAGGAGGTGCGTCCAATTTTTCTTGCTCAATTTCATGCGTAGGTAAAGGGAATGTCAATATATCCCAATGGCAATAGGAAGGAAGTTAACGAAAAAGAGTTGATTTGTCTATACTTGCAGACCGAGGGTGGGTCCTACACTCCCACAACATCTGAAGGTCGTCCTATAAGTATACGTGCCGCCATGCATCTTCCCTCCATCTCTCCAAGCAAGCTCTTCAACTATACAACAAGCCAACCAACTTGCAAATCTTCTCTCTCTCTCTCTCTCTGTAATTACTTCACTCGCACGCCACTCTCTTCAAGTTCTCCTCTTTAAAACCCAAACACAGAGGTTACTGTTCATATATGGGTTTCTCATTCCCACACCAAGAAACGTATTGCTTTTCTTCAGATTTTACTTTTCCACAGATTCCCTTCCATAAATTCCCATTGATTTTTCAGATACCCACAAAATCTTCTTTATTCACGCCCTACCCAGAATTTGATTCCTCCAAATTCAGAGTCTTTCTTTCTTTCCCAACCACCATGACTTTCTTGAAGATTTTCCTTCTTGTTCCTTTACTTTCCCTCGCGTTTTCTCAGGAAACTTTCACTTCCCACCTCCTGCCGAGGCCTTTGATCATCGAATACCCCGAAAACACTGAGACCCATTTCAGTGACTTAGAGGAAGAGTTTAAATTGCACTGTACCAGCTGGAGATTTTCTGCGGAGGCTAACAACATCAACCCCTGGAAAACAATCCCACAGGAATGTGCAGAGTAGAAGTGACGGTTTGATCTCGAAAGGGTCTCTAAGGAGGCTGGAGTTTATGCCAAGGCTGTTGAATTGAGTGGTGATGGGAAAGATGCGTGGATTTTTGACATTGATGACACTCTGCCTTCCAATCTTCCGTATTATGCTGACCATGGTTATGGGTATGATTCTTGAACTTCCTTTGAGAATTTTCTTTGGGTTTATGGAATAGTGTAGAGGAAAACAAAAATATAGTAATTTGATAAAGATGCGTGGAATTTTGACATTGATTGACTAGAATGTTTTCTAAAATTAACATAAATAGAATCATGTTGGGAATTTTGGAGGTTTTTGATCATCTGGAGTTTGATAGATGGGTTGAGAAGGCCATGGCACCCGCTATAAAGTCCAGCTTGAAACTCCATGAAGAGGTGTTGGGTTTGGGAATTAAGGTATTCTTGCTCACTGGGCGCAGTGAAGGGAAAAGAAAGGCTACTATTGAGAATCTGATCAATGCAGGATTTCGAGATTGGCATAAGCTTATTTTAAGGTGATAGTATGAATGCCGCTTATGAGTTCATGTAGAATATTGTCTGACTAGCATAACAATTATTATCCATATTTTAATATCATTTGATTGTCCTAGTATGGTTTTTTCCTTTGCAAATTTAAATGGAAAGTTAGGTTATGTCTTATTGCTGTATTCTAGAGCCAAGAAGCTCACACACCCTCTTGCTTTACCAAGCATTGCCACTTGGCCATGCCTTTTTACCCTTTTTTGTTGTTGTTGTTGTTGTTGTTGTTGATGAGAAAAGAAAAGCACAACCACACAACTCCTCATAGAAAGAGGGTTTGACTTTAGAAGAGAGGGTAAGCTAAATAAAACAGAGTGAAAGCAAAGATATAATAAAAAGACCACCTGTGAGGAGCATAGACAATTGAAATGGGCCTTCCATTTTTGGGCCTTCTATATGGGCCAATAGTAAGGCCCACCACCCAAACAACATTAAGAAGTCCCAATTGGATACAAAAGCAAATGCGGCTACTCATCTTTTTTTTTTCTTTTTTTTTTTTCTTTTTTCACTCTATTACTTACTGATAAGTAAGATGTTAAATATCGAGGGTTTCATAAATATTTGTGGTTCAAAAATACGGAAATATCGATTAAAATATTAATATTGATAAAAATTAGATAAAAACCACATGGAAATTTTTAATGAAACTTTAGAAGTTTATTTAGTCAATCACCAATTATTTTGACACAAAAAATTGAAAGGAAATTTATTGCATAGTGAGTTTGAGTGATTTATGTTGATTATATTGCGAGCTGACAAACTCTGTGACTTAGAAAATTTGGAGTAATTAATGAAAGAAAATTACATACCCTCTGGTAATTTATTTATCGTTTTTACTACAATATTTTATACTTTATAAATTGCATGGTAAGATACATGAGTAATCTTATTTCACGTTATTCACTAGGCATGGTACACGTTCTTATATTTATTATTTATTAAAAATTGAAAAATAATTAAAAATGTAAACCAACTTGATTTGTCATGAAAATTAGGCATCCTACCATGCTTAAAAAATAATAGTGAAGATTGAAAATTAAGTAAGAATATAAATAAATTTATCCTATTAAATAAGAAATAAAGAAAATGATTATAGAGGTTTAAGTAATTAAGCAACAATTTGAAGGTAATGTAAGTACTTATAATGAATAATAAAATAATCAATAACATTAAATAGATTAAATAGGAAAGGAATAAATTAAATTAACTAATTAAGTAATTAATCAACAATATAAAATAATAAGTAATTATGTTAATTTATATTTTGAGAAACAGCTCGCAAGAGTTATAAATAAGGGATTCCAGTAATAATCACAAAGTGATGACTAGCATGGTGGTTAAGTGGCTCCAGAACTTGGAAGGGGGAGGAGTTCGAACCCCTTTGTGCATGAGTTTAAGTGTATTATTTCATTTTTGAAAGTTCATATCATGATAATATTGCGATATATTGACTATCGCGATATATAGTCTTGAGATTGCCCAAACTCTCCTCATGTTCCTGTTTGTTCCCATTTTAATCTCACTTCACCCATTTTTTGTTGTGTGGTGTATGTCTATCTCAATAAATCTCACCGGATCAAGTTGGATCCGTGTGCCTTCGCTGTGTCTCTGTGGGTTTTGCACCTTAACAAAAGGGTGACCGATGTTATCATCCCTCCAATCGCCGCTTTTATGTTACCATGAATGTTGTGTTTGTAGAGAACAATATGTTTTTTTTCTATCAGACATGCCCAATCATGTCTTACAGGTGGAGAATACAGTAAATGAAACACATAATTGGTTTGAGATAGAAATATGGGGGAAAGAAGCACAAAATAGTGCGTTTGAACCCGAGCCTAGCCAAGCAGCTACCGACCAGTCTAGCCGAGCCAAGCCAAGTAGCTGCTGATCAATCTAGCTGAGCTGAGCCGAACAGCCCAACCAAACTGGACATCAGCGACCCTCCTCTCGAACATACCTGCTCATGTTCAATTGAACGTCCTTGAGGTAAGTCCTTCAGATCTCAATGCTTCTCAAAATATTGTTGAAATTATGAAAAGAATTACATGCACAAGCAAATATGGGAATACTACTTGACAGATTCTCACCAGAAGACAAGGTGAAATATGCCATTGCTGATTATGTCTCCACACACAGATTGTCTCCTCAAACTAAAGCATTTGTCAATCAGGTGAAAAGAATTAAAATTCCTAATCGATTGGAAGAAGACTTGTAAGACCCAAAATGGGTGGAAGCAATGAATGTGGAGATGGAGGCATTATAGAAGAATGGAACATGGGGGATAGTTTTACAACCTGAAGGACAGAAACCTGTTGGATGTCGATGGGTGCCCATAATTAAGCAAAAAAGTTGATGACACAATAGACATATATAAAGCAAGACTTGTGGCCAAATGATATAAGCAGATGTATAGAGTTGATTATTAGGAAACATTTGCATTGGTGGAAAAAATGAATACGATGCGAGTTCTATTGTCCTTAACAACTAATTTTAATTGGCCTCTCAAGCAATTCTACGTGAAGAATGCCTTTCTGCATGGAGATCTAGAAGAAGAAGTGTATATGTACATGCCACCTAGTTATGGGTTCTCTAATAATATTGGGAATGTGTGTAGGCTTCGAAAGGCCTTTTATGGATTGAAGTAGTTTCTACGAGCATGGTTTGGATGGTTCACTGAAGCAATGAAGAAGTATAGATATCATTAAGGTAACTCGGATCATACCTTATTTATCAAATGTAGAGATGGTAAGATTACTTTGTTGATAATCTATGTCAATGGTATGGTAGTTACTGGTGGTGATGTTGTTGAAATGGTTAAATTATAGAAGTACTTAGCCTTAGAGTTTGAGATGAAGGATTTGAGGCCTTTGAAGTATTTTCTGTAAATCGAAGTAACTCGATATGCTACTAGTATTTGTTTATCTCAAATGAAGACTTGTTGACAGAAACTGGTATGTTAAGGTGTGCACCAGTCGAAACCCCTATTGTGAAAAATCATCACCTAGCAATCTATCTTGATCAAGTGTTAACCAACAAGGAGAGATATTAGAGGTTAGTGGGAAAAATAATTTATCTTTTGCACACTAGACCATATATCGCATGTGCAGTTAGTGTTGTTAGCCAGTTCATGCATTCTCCTAGTGAGGATCACTTAGCGACAGTTATGAGGATTTTGAGTTATTTGAAGAAAGCTCTAGGCCGAGGCTTGATATTCAAAAACTGGGACATTTGAATGTCAAGGGTTATACCGATGAAGATTGGGTAGACAATATAACACATAGACATTCTACATCAGGATACTTCACTTTCATTGGAGGTAATTTGGTTACATGGCAAAGTAAAAAGCAGAATGTAGTGGCCCGATCTTTAGCTGAGGCATAATACAGGGGCATAGCACAGGGAGTTTGTGAGCTTTTTTGGCTAAAGATAATCCTATATGAAATTGATTTTCCACCAAAAAAAGTCATGGAGCTTTATTGTGACAACCAAGCTGTGAGAGAGGTAGTAAATAATCTAGTTCAACATGACAGAACTAAGCATGTTGAAGTGAATAGGCATTATATCAAGGAGAAGTTGGTAGACAAGTAAATCGATATGTGTTGAGGCCCAAAAAATCCAAGGTTAGGCCCAAATATATTCCCGGCCTAATGCGATACCTTACCAAGAAGAAACCGGATTTGGGCATGAGAAAGTTCATCATACACGCTCGCACGAGTCATGATCCACGTGCCACACCAGCAAATACATAACCTATCACGCTAAGAGCTGTAGCAAGCCTATAAAATACGCCGGCTCTACAAGCCCATGCTTATTATCTCGTCAAACATCATATCCCTTTTCAAAGATAATAAAATTCAAGCACGTCAATCTACATGCAATGTTAAGCGGAAAATTATTATTTTTACACTTAGCCACGCTACAAGCTTAAATGGGTCCAAGCCACGCAAATGCTCGGGGCTTGCTAAGTGGGTTGTGGTATGGATGGTAATGAGCCTTCATGAAGCCCATTGATGAGCCAGAAATGGAAGTTTTGGGCTGCTTGGGAGCCCCAAAACTCGAGCCTATTTCTTGAGCCCAAATATGTGGGTAAGCATAATGAGAGAAATAGGAAGCCTATTACTTTAGAAAATTGGCCTATACCTCAGATGGATTTGAAGTATGTGGGCAATGGACTGTACATAAATTCTTCATATTAATAAATTATAGGGTTCTGAGCAAGGATTAGCTATTTTTGGGTTTCAATTTACTTCAATTGCCTTCAAAACTTCTGAATTTTTTTTAGGTTCTGTTATGGGTATCGGGAAATATTGATGATATCGGCAAAATATAGGGGATATCGCATTTATCAGGGATATATCGTAGAAACAGGGAAGATATGGCCTTACCCCCCCAGTGTCGGTGTTGACAGTTAAAAATTCTGATATATCGGTGTATCAGCCGATATTTCAATCCTTGCTTGTAATTAGCCAATTACTTTTCCTTGTAGGAAAAGTCAACTTGTACTTGTATATATATCCTCCTCTTGGAGAAATATAATATCCATTCACAATTATTTAATCCTTTTGTGTTTAGTTTGAGTGATATTGCGTTTTTCGATGTGTTGGTTTTTCACTCTATAACATACCGGTAAGATATAACATTTTCACTCTATAAGTTACTGATAAGATATTGGCTTTTCACTCTATAACTTACCGGTAAGAAATGAGCCTTTTAGTTTACCGTCAAAACTGAAATCTTGGTGGAGGCTTTGCACATCATCTCAGTTTACTGTCTAAACTGTCTATTCATTTATGGCAGAAATAGTTAGCGATTATTATACTTTTGATCATTTACTATAGGCTTATTTACAATAGTACCCTCCTGAAACTTTTGTCAAATCTTACTTTACCCCCGAAAAGTTAAAATGGCCCGCTTAACCCCCTTGACCAAAGTTTAGTGTTCTAGTTTGCCCTATACCATTATCTCCATTAATAACTCCGTCAATTTTGATGATATAGCATGACTATTTTAGTCTTTTTACCATAAGTGATGATGTGTCAAATGCAGGCCCCACGTTTTTTGCTTAAGTAGACTAAAATATTAATAAATAATTATAATTAAATAATGTAATTACTTGTTAATATATAAAAATATAAAAAATGGACAAAAAATAATATTAAAAAATCTCTTCTTTTCCATCTCTCTCTCTCTCTCTCTCTCTCTCTCTCTCTCTCTCTCTCTCTCTCTTTGTGTTGTCCCCTCCCCTTCCCTTAACTTCACACCATCATACCACAACTACCACCCAACCCAAAGCCACCCTCACCACCACCACTCTAACCCTACTCAACATCACCTACCCAGCAACCAACCTTTACCACCCTCCCACCACACTACTTCTCAAGACTCCCCCACCTCTCTCTCTGTTCATCTCTCTTCTCCCAAGCCCAGCCCCGACATCCACACAGTCACCCACTCCACCACTACCTCCCCTTTCCCTAGCCTCTTATTCTAAACCTGCCCCTTTTCTCCTAGCACAACCATCAACCCAAACCCTTAGTCCACTCCTAAAAACACGACGTCCATCAACGACGGATTTGGATATGGCCAAAATTTATATATGAATATGGGAACTTGACATTCCTAGATTTGTCTGGAAATTTTTTTGCTGGCTAAATACCAAAACTTGTATTTACCAATTTAGGCCATCTTGAATATCTTAATCTCTCCATTAACCATTTCCAATGACCACTGCCATAAAACTTTCCCAATCTTAAATGCCTCCATTTAGTAGTGAACCACTTTAGTGGCACAATTCCTGAAGATATTGGTTTGATATATGGTCTTCAGCTACTTCAAAATCCACTTGAAGGAAAAATTCCATCCTCTATAGGCCAACTTAGGAAGCTCCAGTACCTTGATCTTCAAAACAATTCCTTAAATTCTTCAATCCCTGTGGTGGGTATGGTGATTTAGATGGTAGGTTTTGATGTTTGGATATGTGGGTATGGTGGTGCTGGTGGTTTAAATGGTGGAGGGATATAAGAGGTGGTAGTGGGGAGTAGGAGGGGTTGGTATGTGGTGGTTGCTGGGGAAAAGAGAGAGATGAAGAAGAAGATAATTTTTTGATATTAAATTTTCAATTTTTTAATTAAATAATTAATTTTTTTAATTAATATTTTGGTCCACTTTAAGGAAAAAAAAAAAGTGGAGTCTACACATGACACATCATCACTTGTGGAAAAAAAAGACTAAAATAGCCCTACCACGTCATCAAAATTGACCGAGTTATAAATGGAGATAACAACATGGGGCAAAGTGGAACACAAAACCTTGTCAAGGAGGTTAAGTGGATCATTTTAACTTTCGAGGGTAAAATGAAATTTGGCCAAAGTTTCAAGGGATACTACAATAAATAAGCCTTTACTAAATTTGAATCTCCCTACAGTATTTGTTCCTTGCTCGGATGATTTGTGCGAGATTTGTTGTGATATTCCCTTTGGGGTTGAGAATTTGTTTTACAAAAAGCCAAGCCATTGGAGAATTTCTTTTTTCCTGTTTTGGGGAAATTATTTTGGTGAGTATGTTATGATCTAAAAGCCAATCAATCATTTGGGTACACGTATTATTGGGAAGCCACTTGAAGGTTCCAATGTAGAAAAGTTCTTAGCATATAACTCACTTGACCAGCTCAAAAATCATCTCCAAAATAATCCTCTATCTTCTTCTTCTTCTTCTTCTTACAAATTTGACATAAAAATATTTAACTAGAGAACATTCACTTGGAGATGTCATGATCAGTGAGGTTATTAAGGGGTAAGATTGGGACCTAAAGAAACTTCTATAACACTCAATGCCCAGGTGGCCAATCAAAGGAGAGAAAAAATACCATTAACACAATCACTATTTATGTACAACCAAGGCCATATGTGTAACTTCCTATAAAGCTAGATCAAACAACTTCTTTGTTCTCATCAGATAACTGTGGTGCTATATATAAAGCTTATAACTTCTAAATACACAACATAAACGGTTTGGAAAAAGGAAAGAAAGAAAAGAAAAACTAGAGGGGGAAATTATCATTATTAGCTCTAACTAGCAAGACGCTATACTGATCTTAGAGCAATGAGGCCTTCAGCAAACTCCACCGCTGCGGCTACTAGCCAGGATGCCGCGCTCAGAAACTGGAAGTCTCCAATACCATACCTCTTCGGTGGCCTAGCCCTCATGTTGGGGCTTGTCGCGGTTGCGCTGCTGATTCTTGCTTGCTCCTTCCACAAAACGCCGTCATCCAACAGCTCAACAAGCAGTGATGCAGATCAAGATCAGAAACCAACTAGGCCAGTGGACATAGAGGCTGCAGATTCTGAGCCCAAGATTGTTGTCATAATGGCTGGAGAGAAAACAGCAACATACTTGGCCAAGCCAATGTGTTCCAATACTCACCAAACTGATCAAAATGTTTGAAATCTCTGCTTCAAAATGCCTTTCTTTTTGTTTTGTTTTCTATCTCGGTTTCTTGTAGCTCTATTTGTTAGTCTCTCTTAGTATACATGCTTGTTAGCTGTTGCGGGAATATCTAATCTAAGAGAGCTCTATATATAAAGAGTATATGTATATGTTAAATCATAAGAACTTGTTATACAATTCATTTTCTTCTCTTTTCAATCTGTTCTTTTGTGAGGATCTATCTATAGCAAGCTAGTTTACAATCCGATTTTCAACTTGTTTGGCTTCAAAGTTTAGGACATTGGCCTTGATTCGAAATTAATAAACATTTATTTTTCCTGCTGGGTTATTTTATTTCTTTTTCTTTTTCCTGCTTTGTGATGATGGTGCTGTAATCTTTAAGCCAAGCAAACTTGAACTCGGGCAAATCTTGGGAAGCAAATTAACTTGAAGGTTTCAGTAGAGAAAAGTTCAACAATATTCCACGTGGGATCACGTGACATGGTATTTATCTCATATTTTGCAGCTATGATAAGAATCACTTACTCGTTCGGGAATGCTTCTCTAAGAAGCACTTATGCTCATAAACGCTTATAATAAAAGCGTTTTTATTATAAAGATGTTGAAATTTTCATAAAAAATTGAAGTGCTTCCTTGAAAAGTATTTGGGAGTTCTTCCTGAAGAAGAGCATGATAGGTGCTTCTCCAGAAAACACTTGTATGACCTAGAAGCACTTCTAGACTTTTCAGCAAAACACTGTAAAAAACGCTTTTGTATGTCAGAAAGCTCTTTTAGCCCTTTCAGAAGCACTCCCAAACGAAATTAATTAAGGTTCTTAATTATTTTTACCTTCAGGTTCAACCATTTAAATCTCTTTTTTGCAATCTTTTCCCCAAAACAGCTTTTTGCCACTGAATTCCAACTACCATCACTTGAACGAAGGGATAAATATGAAGAAGATTAATGTTAATTACAAGGTGGTATATATTATTATATCCATCGATAAGCTGACTTAATTAGAAGAAGTTGGACCCCTGCCGTCTGCGCAAGAGTCTTCCACCAATCCCATAATTACCAACTGCGGTCTTTTAATACGCTACTTTACCACATCTTAAGCCAACTATGTTTGACAGAAATGCAAAAGCCAAAAAAAGGTAACGAATGGATTTAGATTAAACAGAGAAGTGGCTTCTCGGAGATGTATTTTTGGAGTGCACATTTTCTTGGATATGACACAAATTAGTATAAAAGGAACTCAATTTCCATTTTGTACGTCATTAAGTCTAGAGGTGTGGACACATGAAATGATGAGTTCCACTGGGTTTTATATTTATATATTTTCACGTTTTCTGTGAAGTTTCTCAGAAAGTGTTATAGAAGTTGACCAAACCCATATCAAAATCTTATTTTCTTGATGGGAATAGTTTAATCTTTTTTTATACAAGCACTACTAAAAGAGCGAGAATTCGAACATCGAACCTCGAGTATAGAGATAACTGTTTTTAACCACTTAAGCTATAAGCCCTATAGCAATAATTTATATAAATTGGTTTGTCACATCAATTATACTTTCTTGATGGGAATTTATAATTACCTTAATGCCGGGGGCACAAGGTCAAAACCACCTCAACCATGATAGATAAACATGAAAACCAATTTATATAAACTAATTAGTTTAATAATTAGTAATGGGAGTTTGGCAGAATGCATGGAGTCATAGACCATGGTATTGGATTAGGTGAAGGAGAAGTGGCGTCTCGGAGATGTATTTTTCCTACTGTTACTAATGGAAGACCTAGAAATTTAGATCCATACATGCAATATTAATAGTAAAAGCAAAACAAAAAGGTGGTGGTTTTCTTAGTATTAGAATCTTGGATATGGCAAATTAGTCTTAAAGGAAGTGCATTTCCACATCAACTTCTTCTTTAGTGGGGAACACTGGACATCATGTATGAATATGCTAATTTTCCACTAGGTTTTTTGTATTATTTATTTATGTTCGAATATATTTTAAAATTATCGTGTGAAACTCATTTGCATATTCATAATCGTACATGCGCACATGAACAACTTCGCCAGCGCATATATCATTCTAATTCCCTTATTCTTTAGCTAATAGTCGATGCCTCAAACAAATGATGCACTACTGCCTGCCACTAATTGAAGTGTCGAGACCGTACCTAGAAAAAGAAAATTGTTTCTAGACTGTAGGGTTTGATGTCTGTGGATGCATATATGCGAGGGCTTGAAAACGTACGGCTGTAGGGTTTACAATATTATACATGTGAATGTTATGAACCAAATCAAATTGGATATCTTTTAAAGTTTAAAAAACAAAAACATGGGGATTTTCTTTTCACCCTCACCTGTTTGAAGTTGGCTACACAAAACTGATGGGAAGTTGAAAAGTTTTCAAAAAGTTGGTTCTCCATTTCAACAATTCTTTGATTTGTGGGACATCATTATATATGCTGTGTTAGTGTTTACATCAACATTTCGTGCTTAGATTTTTATATAGAAAAAGGAAACTTTTTTGGATGTCACTGAGATATTAAAGGGAAGATGTCAACATGCATATGGCTGGAAGGATTGTGTTGTTTGACGTCTACGTCTAGAGGCCTTGATTTCATGGGAACATGCACTCACCTCAACAAGCTGATTGAAGCTGCTAACCACTTGTAATAACCTAGACCACACAATTTCTTCGTGCCTATCCATATTTAATAATCTGGAAAAAGTTGTACGCAAAGGTCTTTTTAACAATAAAGTTTCATTGATCAAAGAAACCCTAAAAACACAGATTGCACAAACAAATCTAATTGCCTCCTTTCCTTTTTGCGTCGTTTTTTGTATAACTAATTTGCAAATCTCTTTTAGATCATGAGGTTCTCTTTACTTTTAAAGAAGAGTAGGTACGTGATTCGAATTCTAGCCTTGAGTGCGTGGATACATGCTCACTAGCTACCCGGTGAACCTGCCCTACAAGCCCTACGAGCCCCTACAAGCCAGAAGCATGAGATCCTCATTTGATAAACAAAAAGAAAGATCAAATTGCATTCTAAGTGTCGGCATGCGTTGGAGTAGATCGACACATAGTTTGCTTGGAAACCCAATTAGTAAAGTGAATGTTCATAATTATTATGAAGTAGAATAAGAATGTGAAGTTGAGGGTCCAAACCTTTTTCTGGTGGGCTGCTTCCAATCCAAATATTGGAGGGGCCGCTATTCAAATATACAAAGCATATTTTAGTGATGCAAGATATACAATATTGCAGTAAATGTAAACAGTTATTTTCTCATCTGGATGTCGTGCGAATGTCATTGTAAACATAGAGAAAAGTAGAGAAAGATAATAAAATATATATAACATTTGCACGATAATAATGTCTGGACATCCATATATATATATATATATATATATTTCATTATTAGTTATTCAATCTTTAACGTACACTTAAGTGAAATTAATCGTCCTTTTCAAACTGACCTATTTAAGGTACGAATTGGTAGGCTAGCTTGTACGTGGATCACCAAGGACCGCATAAAAAGAAAACTTCCTTACAGATGCCTGATTAACTAAAGCTAATATTTAATTAAAGCTAAGATTGGGGAATGACTCAGATAGAGTGACCCATTAAGCAACCCACTCCACTAGAAAATAAATAATTAAATTAATAGAGATAAAAAAGAAAACCAAGAGAACAAATAGATGAAGAAAAATTGCAAGCAGAAAAAGAGTATAGTAACTTTGGGACCCTATGTTCCCTCTCCTAAATCTTCTTTCCCCATGGACCCTGGCAAAGGAAAAAATCGGCAAGTTTGGCTTAAATAAGGGAAAAATTGATGATGCGTTTTCATATGAGGGAGAAGAAGATTAAAATAAATAAATAAATAAGCAATTATAACATTTATCATCTCAAAAATCGAAACCATAGAACTTGTTTTCAGGACATTATAGCTGCAGCCTACCTTATCACAATTTTTTTTTGAGTTAAAACCTCAAATTTTTTTTAACTCTGTCACTTTTTTGTTTGGTTTCCAATGTATAAAAAGAATAGTCCATATTGTTAATTACTCCCTCAAGCAAGGTTCTGGGTTCGAGTGATCTTAGCGTCCGTGTAGTGTGTGTGAATTTAGTATATTATCATCCCTCTCAATAAAAAAAATCCAAAGAAAAAAAAAAAGAGAATAGAATATAGCTAGCATATCTTCCCATTTTGTAGAAGAAATTGGTTAAAAATTCCATTATATATGAAGACTCATTTTCCCATTTATATCTTTTCATGTAAGTGTTTCTCCTTTCCCTTATCCTTACGTCCCCTCAGATGTCATACGCATATTATTAATTAGGACATAAAGCATATCCAAAATTAATGTTGTCTAGACAAGACCTAGACGGCTCCCATACAGCAACATCTAGCTACTTCTGATAATTAGAAATTAATTGAAACCAACAACATGAGCATATATACATATTTACAGAAGAAGGTAAACAAATATTAAGAGACCAACTTTTGAAACATTCTCTATTAAGGGAAATGGGACCAATTTTGTGATCAAACGGAATTTGACTAAGTGGGTCCTGCAAATTCAGGACCCAAAAAGTCTCAACATTGAAGGGAAATTTTGACAAACTCAACAAGCTCATTTTCTTATGTTGGTTGACATCTTTTTTCCACCACATGATGAGTTTTCTGATAATTACCAATGACTCGAAATCTACCTTTTTGAGTTTTGATCGATATCTCATAGTACCTACTTTCTTGAGAGCTTCTATGAAAACTAAGGAAAAACCGACCCCTAATAAACCCATGCCATTGCCCCAATTAGTACAAATATTTTCTTCTTCCAAATGATTGATGAGGCACAAAGAAAAAGAAGAGAACAATTCGAAAGCATATTCTTTTGGTCTTTTTAGGAACTTGGCATAAACTAAATTACCCCTATTTCTAGTGCCCCAAAAACCCAAAAGTTCATGTTTATTAATATTTTTCTAAGAGCAAATGGCATGCAC